TCTGTAAAATATATATATTAATGGGTTTATGTTATAAAATTAATAAAAACATATATAGATTTCCACCATGGCATATAGTTTTAATTAAAATATTTTCATTAGTTAATTTAATGACATATTCCTTAAAACTCTCATTAAATAATAAATATAATTTTTTCATCAATTGTCTATTCAATTAATATATAGAGGATTAGTGGCATTTTAAAGAAAATTTCAAAATGATGATATTTTTGAAAAGTGGCATTTCTAAAAAAATTTCTATATTTTAGCTAAGTATCATGCAAATTAAATTTTGTAAGATAAAATATATTTATCTATACTGGAGATATATATTTGTTATTTTTAATTTTTTCCATATATTAAAAAATCATGAATTTTTTTTGAATATTCTAATGCATATCCAAAAAAATATAATAGTCAATAAAAAAAAAGATATTCTCACATATACTGTACTTTATATTCTTTAAATAAAATCTTCCATATTAATTATCACATATTCTTTGCTTCCATATTTGTTTAATAGTTATATATTGTATATGTGATATAAATTTAGTTTAATTATTTACACARTWATGTCWTTAARAARTTTTAATAGTTTTCATTAAAAATTCCTTAAAATCTTTTTTGGATGACACCTAGGATTTTCACCTAGTGTCTCCTCTATTAATATATAGAGGATTCCCAATATACTAAGATTCTTCGTGTTCCCATTCTCCAAAATGTTATAGAAGTATTTAAAATAGTATTCATTGATATTGTATCTATCTTAAAGGCTATGATAGAATCTCTTTGTTATACAACACCTTATATGTAACACCTTTGTATCTAAACGTCATTTGAATATAGAGATAATGATAAATACTATATTGCTCATAAAACATGACCGATTTGTAAAATTTTAGACATACAAAGATCGTTTACCTGCAAATTTAACTTCAAGGATCTTGTTCATAAGCAATGGTTTTTGCTATAAGCGTACAAAAAATGTCAACTTTTCCAATTAACATCATCGAA